GGTGGATCTGGAACAGGGATGGAGTGGGAGAGCAATGAAAGAGATACCATGGTAGAGGGAAACATCATGGGGATAGGGAGAAACCTGGTGCTGGGGAAGTTCCCAGGAATCCACAGGGATGACCACAGCTTAGACTACTGGCAGTGGTGGAGAGGGTACCTGAACTGGCCTACCCCAGTAATCAGATTAGTGAATACCCTAACTGTCATCACAGAGCCTTCATCCAGTGACTGATGGAAGCAGATGCAGAGATCCACAGCCAAGCACCAGGCCAAGCTCCAAGAGTCCAGTGGAAGAGAGAGAAGAGGGATTCTATGAGCAAGGGGCATCAAGATCATGATAGGGAAACCTACAGAGAAAACCAAACCAAACTAGTGGGAACTCATGAACTTTAGACCAATAGCTGTGGAGCCTCCATGGGACTGGACTGGGACCTCTGCATAATCAAGACAGTTGTGTAGCTTGGTCTGTTTGAGGGGCCCCTGACAGTGGGATCAGGATCTATCCCTGGTGCACGAGATGGCTTTTTGGAACCCGCTATCTACGGTGGGACACTTTGTACAGCCTTGATGCAGGGGGAGGGGCTTAGACCTGCCTCAACTGAATGTACCAGGCTCTGATGACTCCCAATGGGAGGCCTTACCTTGTCAGAGGAGAGAATGGGGGTTGGCTTGGGGGTGGTAGGTTGGGGAGGAAGGAGCAGGGAAGAGAGGGGGATCTGTGGTTGGTATGTAAAAATGAATAAAATAATTCTTAGTAAATAAAAGACAAGAAAAAATACCAAAAATTGGTAAAAAAAAAAAAAGATTGATAAACGTTTTCTACTTTGTAGTGATGTCATAATATTATATCATCAAGCAGTAACCTTAGCAAAGTGCATACCAGTGCTTCTGAGTGTTTAATTATGTTGAGATTTCTCAATAGTGTACCATTCAATTATAGTAGTATGTAATACGTTACAGAGAGTGCTGCTCTAAGCTTTAGTAAGTACTATCAATCACTCAGATAATTTTATAACTCATGTATAGATGGTTCTTCTGAAGCTTATGACACTTCTCAATAATAAATGTAGACCTGATATGACATACTTTTTTTTTAAAGTAGTGTTTACTGACAAAGAAGAGCCTAGGAGGAAAAAATATGAAAAGTCACCATCTATATTTATATGTAATACAAATATATATTATTTTTACATATATTATATTTCTAAATTTTAAATTATGGAGCTAAAGGAGAAACCCTAATAATGGCATATTTCAATGCCAAATGAGTAAACAACAATTTTGATGGAAATATAATATTTTTGGTATCTATACACTTATGCTTTGCAGTGAAGTGTTCAATATACTCATTAACAGTATACTTCTTCATGTAAGTACCAGGTATTTTTTGTCATATTCTATATAGCATGTGAGGAATGATAATTTCACTTACTTAAAACAAATTCAATTGAAGAACTTAAATGAATTTGCCACTAGGTTTAAACTAATTTAATGAAGATAATGACCAGTGGGTAATGACTAGATGGTAAGAATTCAAATAAAATACATGGATTAGTCATTCTCTAAGCTTCATGGGAATTTCTAGAAAGACGTACAGAGACTTGAGGCTAAACTGATGTGTTCATATTTAGCAGTAGCTTGAACCACTGCATGGATAATAGAAAAGAATTTGATGATAATAAAAATGTCACTCTCTTGAAATGTTGGGAAAGCACCCACCCTGGAAATAAAAATTCATTTAAAAATAGCAGCTAAAGTAGAAAAATTGTTTGGATTTCATACACAGTTTGTCTTTAAAAGTTTAAACTTCTAGATTTAGCTATCAACAAGATAAACAAAACATTAAGGCTACACAAGCGACCAGGATTTAAAATGTTTTTACTGGTGTCTAATGCTCCAATGAGGTTTACAAAGAGAAGAGAGGCTGAGTTAAAACTTCAAAATTACTTATGTTGTGATGGATTAAACACATTTATGAGGATTTTTGCTTAGGTTCTACATAAATAAGCATTGTATCTGCTCATGCCATGTTCAGATTAAAAGAAATAAAACACTTTTGCTATATGAGAATAAAAGTGACAGTTTATTATAATGGTGTGTGGTTGACAAACACAAGATGAACCTTAGACTTATATTTTACTTCCCTTTCTACTTTTTATATTTTTCTAAATATATATCTTTGCCTTTGACCATGTGTGCTTGCTTGAAACACAGCGTTGCTCGGTTATGGATTACTCTATCTGAGAGACCTTGAACAAGTACGGATTTCATGTTGGAAAGGTGTTTTGATAGTAGCCACACTGCTAACTAGGAAGGCTAAGATGGTTGTCAAGGCCACATTTCCCAACCCTGCATGTAGGCGGACAGAACAGAAATTGTCATTTGAACTGAGCCAGTACACAGTGGGCTTAGCTAAAGAAGTGGGTAGCTTTCTTGCCCTCTTCTGTGGCACTCAGAATCCAGCCGAAGCATGGTGATTGAACTACAAAAAAAAAAAAAAACCATTATGGTGGACTATTTTGAATCACTGGAAAGATAGGTGTTGTCAGTATTAAGAAGAAAGCTAAGACATAGGATTTGGATGAAACAAACACACAGACAGAAAAGAGCCCAAGAGAAGGCACAGGAAACAGAGACTTGCTTGCTAGATTTTGTCTTATCTTACTATATTTTATTTTACAATTATCCTTTAGAAGCCTGTTTGTTTTCTAAGGAGAGACAGAAAGAGAGCAGATCCCAATGGGAGGGGAAGTGGGAAGAAACTGGGAGGAGTACAGGGAGGGGAAATTGTAATCAGGATCTATTAAGTGAGGGAAAAAATCCATTTTCAATAAAAAGAAAAGGAAGGAAAACTGCCAGTGTGTGGAGGAAGTAAGGAAGAATACCTAACATACAACTTATATGCCTGGATGATAATGTGACTGACAAAGAGCAGAACATAAATCAAACTCAGAAATTAATATGCCATTTTGACTCAAAGCAGTGAGATATTTTGCCCCCTTTAAAAAAAGTGAACACTGTGCTCCATCCATCTGGAATACTTGTTATATGGAAGGAAATAGCAGTTTTCACTCCTTCTCTTTGGTTGTACTTCTGCAACCCAGAAGAGCTTTCTTCTGTGTAGGAAAATCCAACTGTTAGTTCAAATCATAGTTTACATGTCATTTATTCTCTGAAACTCTCTGGATCTCTCACCAAACTCTAATCCCTCCCTTCCTTCTGAATGACAACATTTATGCTGGGACCTTCAATTGGGCACTTAGCTCATTGCAACGTGATTCTTTTCAGCACTGACTGGCTGAGCTCCATCTTTGCTTGCCATCATACACGGTACCAGGGGAAAACCAACTGGCCACAAACTGTGCTAGGAATGGTGATGCATGCCTGTGATCTGAGCACTCAAAAGGTGGAGTCAGGATGAACAGGAATTCAAAGTCACCCTCTTGGTTATATTGTGAATTCAAGGACAGCCTGAGCTACATGAGACCATGTCATAAACAAAGCAAAACCCTTGACTTCAAGGAAATCACAGTCTAGAGAGGAAAATAAGTGCAGAGTAGATGCACCGCACCACTGTGGTAAGTGGGGCAGCAAAGCACAAGGAGGGCACAGTATGAAGGTAGATGCATTGCTGTGGTCTAAGGCTAATGGTAAAAGAAAAGGATTGTCACATGCAATGACAATGTGTGCCACTGTTTGTTTTGTTTTGAGCTTTGTGAGAGTAGGACCATGCCTCCCTCTTCTTAGCATCACATCACCTCACAAGTTCACAGTCATGAGATTAGAACGGGTTGAAGTCTACTTTTAAGGGACAAAGTGTCTAGAAGATGAATTTTTTTTTCTTTTTAATCTTTTGGTTGTTTGTTTGAGGTAGGGTCCCATTCCTTAGCCCAAGTCGACCTTAAATGCATAATCCTGCTTCATCCTCTTTTTGGGATTACAGACATGTGCTGCCGCATCTGTCTCCCAATATCTTGGCTTAAATTCTTCTGCTTTTACTGGTTTGATTTTACCTACAGCATCATCAGTGTCTGTGCACTTGAGTGTTTGAAATGAACAAGGAACCCTTTTCTCTGTAGGCTGGTCATGGGAAATAGACCAGTTATAAGGACTCAATTCTGCAGCCCTCTCCTCCTTCATCTTGGGGTCGTCTTTATTTATTAATGTACAATGTGTGATTCTTTAACTAACCAGGATAAGAAAATTTTTAAAGTATAACACACTGATAGGATTTGCATACTTTTGAAAAATAATGTTTTCTTTTTTATGGAAATTTATATTGCAAATATTAACATTGACCTTAAATAATTATTACCAAGTTAAAATTAAAAGCATGGATTTGTTATATAATAGTGCTAAGTCCTGTTTGTCAAATGTGTCTTTGAACCGACGTACCTGAAGGACTTTCATTAAATTAAAATTGTGTTTTAAAAAGCAATCCAAGCCGGGCGTTGGTGGCGCACGCCTTTAATCCCAGCACTCGGGAGGCAGAGGCAGGCGGATCTCTGTGAGTTCGAGGCCAGCCTGGGCTACCA